CGGCGTGTGGCACCGCTGTCCGTCCGTACGCATATCCATAAGTGTGTGTGTGTGTGTGCGTGTGTGGCGACTACGTGGCCTTCCCTTCGTTCCAAGCCAAGATGCAGTTGTTGCCATAGTTTCGTCAGCCAATGTTCTACTCAACAGAGTCATGTTCATTTCATTCATAGTGCTGAGACTACGGGTTTGGTCAGAGACAATTCCAAGAGTTCTGATTACCACGTGCTCAGCTAGTGGAGCATCACCTCAAACTGGCACAGAAAGCAATGGGACTTAGATAGATGCAAATCCCCTGATACGGCAGGCTTCTTTGGAGCCGCAAAAATGTATCATGAGCATTCGTAACTTGTAACTCCACAAATTCAACAATTAAAATCACCGTGGTAAACTCAGTGCCATCTCCTAAACTCCCGCGCGATGCCCCCAACACAGCTTGGTGCGCTCAGAATTAAAAAGAAAAAGAATCGCGAAGGGTCAGTTTTGAGAATTTGGGGCATTCATCAGGCATTCCTCCATTCTTCCAAGTTGGGAGGGACTGGCCGCCAATCGAGAATTTGGAAGCAAAATTCCCCACCCAAACAGAAGGTGGAAGTTCATGTGACCCTTTTCGATGCCCTGCCCAACCCCCTGCATTTCAGCAAGGCGTAAAAATGCGGCCACATGAACTGAAGATCGCATGGTATTGTTTTATGACCGTTCAAATGAAGATCGACCATTCTTCTTAAATTCTTCTTACTGTACCTGCTCTCGTTCTTCTTACATTCGAATGCGCACCACTTCCAGGATTCCATGCTTCTCTTCATTCAAGTGTCCATCTGGTTTGTGGTGCGCATTGAAGTCGTGATGGTAGCCATCGATGGGATCCTCCCGATTGAGCCTCGTTTTTCGGGTCAAAACACTGGCCAGTTGGGCATGACCAGAGTTCGTCTCCTTAGGCCCCTGCAAACAGGTTTTGGAAGTAGAGATGACATGTGAGAGATTCTAACTTCTAAATGTACATAATAAAGCATATTAATGCATATGACCCCCAAGATGAATTGAACATGTCTTGAAAGTGGGGACCTGATTGACCAAAGAAACTACATGTGATCTTGAGCCTTCCACCAATGTGATCTTTAGCCTTCTGAGAATCCTGAAAGACTGCACTCCCATCAGTCCAAAGAGGGTCCCCCTCTGCTTGGACCCCTAAGGAAGCTGAACTGCACCCTGGGAGGTGAAAAGTTCCGTGGCGATGGAAGTGGAACCCTCGGCTCGGCTACTGCGTTGAGACTTCTGGAAGTGACGACTTGGCCCCTTTCGGTGCTCAAAAAGCAAAGCGAAGATGGACAAATCCAGGTAAAACCAATGGGTCAACAGGTCTAGTTAGCCTTCACTCAGAGGTCACACGGGTTTAGGGTCCAACGGTGTTCTCCCTATTTCAATGCACACCCCAAAGGATTTTCCAGCAAAATCCACCTCCGAACATTGTTTCGGCGACTGAGCGACATCTTCGTCAGGAGCTCCAAGTCCCCTTCATGCGCTGCGCGTACGAAACGCTCCAGGGGCCACTTGCTATAACCACGAGGGTTAATGTCCTGTGTGCACAGGCGACGCCACTGAAGCACTGAGACTTTGATCTTTAAATTGGTTGTGAGTAGTTGGGGACAATGGGTTCCAAACGCCAACATCATGGACATGAGTCGTTACCAATCTGTGGGCACCGAATGGGCTGTCTTGTCCAAACTCATGTTGATCTCCCAAGTCTTGGCCCAATTCTCCTGATGCACGGCCTGTAGCTGCTGCTTGTTGGGCACACGTAGCCGGCCTTTCGATCCACGGCGGGGATGGAGACAGGAACGGAAGTGTAACCGAATCGGTGTTGACCTCGGTCCCTACCCAGTCTGCCAAAGGGGACGCAACACGGGGACCCTCTTGAAAGGGATTCTCCCCCCTCGATCAAACCCAGACATCAAACCCAGCCAGAACCCCTATGGCCCCATAGTGTGACCACACGGTTTCAGGAAAAAAAAGAAACGTTCCTCGTTCAAAGAGCTGAGTCACAGTCACGTCGAGTCCATGCCGAAGACATCCCAAATTCCTGCAGCCGACCGTTGCGTTCCGCACCTTCCTCCCTCACGTGAAGCTCGGGGTCCATCCGCTGCCGCAGGCTCGTGACATCTGAGAGGCGGTCGGTTCCACCAAGGAGGCGGTCGGCCGGCTCCAAGGTTCCACCCCCCCCCCAAAGAAGAAGAAACGAGGCCGCGGGTGAGCTCTATTTTAGACCACCAACGAACCCAAAATAGGGTCTTCTCCGAGTCTTCTCCTATCAAAAACGAGGTCGTGTCTGGGCTAGGAAGACATGGACCCTCCCAAAAATGACATCCTGGCTGGAATGGTGCACATGCACTATAGTCACTATAGCTAGAGCCCAAGAACCCGATTTCAGTTTTGATGATTCTGGGGGCCAAATGATATGTTGGGTGGTTGGTGATCAAAAAAATCAGATCACTCAGGTTCTTGGTACATGTGCACATGCACCCACCCATTCAACCATTCGGCCTCTCCGAGAGTTAATTCCATCACCTTCCGGCTGATCCCACGTGTTTTCTTCTATGTCCAGAAGACTCCAACGGAAAACCGCCCAATAATTGAGATTGAAAGGAAAGGTCCTGTTCCAAGCAGCCATGGCATCCGAGAATGAGGGTCATCTCAATGATCAATGTGCAGAATCGCAGATTCTGCCACAAGTCCCCATGTTTGTTGGATAAAGGCGAAGCTCAATCAATCCCAGTGCGAATCTGCACTCAGGGCGAAACAAGCTTGCATGCGGCTCGTCTCTCTGGCCAAGGAGCCTGTCAGCTCCTCCTCCGCCATGAGCCTGGCCCCAAATCATTGTTGAATTGATCAAACTCCAGGTGCAACGCTCTTTTCCTCGATTCCCTTAGGTGTATATCTATCTATATATATATATATGTGTGTGTGTGTGTGCGTGTGTGTGTGTTATGCTTGTTGATTTATACATTAACTATAATACACACTGTATATCTATATGTTTTGTATATATCGAAATCTAACATTTGTTCACCACCAAAAGACCAGAAAATGCCACAGGACCAAAAATGAACGACCAGCATCAGTATGAGCATCAGCGCAAAAAGTGACCAACAACAACTCTGCCTTGTCGAAACTACAAGATTCAGGCTACTGATGATGGTACCCTGTGCATAGTGATCTTCAATTGTCTGATGCTTTAGAAGGTAATGTGCATTACCAGCATCACCTGGTTCTTGGGGCAACTCCAATCCTCACCTTCCACGTGGCAGCAGGCGCCCACCGCGTCCGTTTTGAGCCCGTGGGCTTGGCAGGTTGTTTGAAGATGTATCCATCACAAGTGCTGGTGGGGGATCAAACCTCTCGTTCTTTTAGTGGGGGCAGTACTCGAGTGCTGCTGAGAAGTACGAAGTACTCATGGGCTTGGGTTGCTCAACTCCGCAAAGAAAGGGACACATCTACATCTTCAATGGCTTCCAAGGCAGAGTCCGGAGTACATGTTTAGAAAAAATTGAACCCAGTGGATCCCAGTTACCAGACAGAAGGAGCCAGCGGCCCTCGTTCAGTCTATGGTTCTAGTCTTTGGAACCACTGAGTGTGCAAGTACCATCTATAGTGGCAACTGGATCCATTAGGCAACTGTAGCAGCTTCTATCCTCCAATACCAGGAATCGATTCCACAGCGCAGGTCCCACTTCTCTGACTTCACATCACTTTTTGGCCGACGAATCATGGAATTCACAAATTGTATGCTGTGTACGACTGTCAATAAGCCCCAAAAGGATTTGTCGCCGCGGGCGCACTCGCAAAAAGAATCACATTGGCATAGAAAAAATGATGAAAACAAAGTTTTGTTAACGGAGAACTAAACCATCTCTTTACTACGTCTCATCGCATGTCATAACCACCCGAGCAACGAAGATCCGGATTTAAAGAATATATCTCTCAAACTTGGCAGATCGGGAACCTCTCTGAGCTAGACACCATGGCACTCCGGAATGAATGATTGGTTTGTTAAACACGCAGCACCTAGACAAGCTACCTCATGGGCTCATTTGAACCATCATGACACTTCATGAATGGTTGGTGAAAACTGGAAACCTTCACCAGCACCCTCAATGTCAGGTCTTCAACAAAAGGGTTGGGAAGGGCCCTGTTGGAGGTGGACCAGTCGGATACTCCTGGTCTCAGTCGGCCCAACATGACCTCTATTTGGATCGGACGCTAAAAATATACTTGGGATGGTGGGTGATCTAGAGTTTCCTGGCTCAGGGTCTTGGTGGTTTCCGGTGGGTGGTGTCTTCTGTTTCATTCTGTTTCTGGTGCTTTCAGGGTCCGAGTCCCCTTCGACCAACTCAGCGGCCCGGACCAACTCAGCGGCCGCCTGGTGACGTCACGGCTCGAACGGAACCGCATCTTGGGTGCTGCGGGGGTGTTAACTCGGCGGTGGTTGGGGGGGGAACTGAATGGAAACACTTCGGTGGTTGGCGTAGAAAAGCGAAAGGCCTTCATGTTCTTCGAACGCTGAAGTTCTTCGAACGCTTTGATGGGATGCCCAAAATAGACCTTTTGGAAGCAAAACCTGGTGCATGGGAGCGCCAGGGACTGCATGACATGATCGCCAGTGCCTGGATCGCCAGTCCGTGGTTGTGTGATCCCCGCCACTGTCGGAGTTGCGCGCCCGGAGTTGGAAACCACGCTCAATCTGCCAAAGACTGCAAGCAGCCAACCAGCCAGTCAATGTCTTTATTTTGGACCCCCAACCACCCCTTGATTTTGGATCCCCCCAAATCCTCTCAAAACCGGGGTCATGCCTCGGCTCAATGTTTTTCTGTTCGAACAACACGGTACGTGTCTTCCCCTTCGCAGGCTCCAGCTTTGGCCCTTCAGCTTTATCCAAGAGGCATTCACTGCTTTTGGCGGGCCACCTTTGGTTGCAAGCTGATTGAAAAACATGACCCCCTTACAGGCATGTGTGTGTGCCCAGGTGTATTTATGTAGGGGAGACCCCCAACAATGGGGGTTCGTCTATTTTCATTCTTCCAGGGAAATCCAATTTCTTTGGAAGGTCCGTCACAGAAACAGCTTCGAGGGTCCGACAGGGAGGGTCCAGAACTCAGAACTCCCAGTTCATCGGCAGTTCCGAAGCAGTTCCGAATTCGAACTTCTCAACTGAGCTTCAACTGGAAGCTCGATGATATTCTCATTCCTGGAAGCTTCAATTCATGACACATCCCTTCTTTCCCAAAAGTTGAGAAACCTGGGTGAAACCTGCATGGTGTCCACTGCTTCTTTTGGAGGGTAAAGGAAACCCAAAATTACACCACCGTAGACCCCAAACAGGCGGGACAAAGGAAGAATTGAGAACGGGCCCCTAACAGTAAACTCTTTGGGGAAAGGGAAACCCAAAAAAAAACAAAGAAACACCACCCAACTTACGCGCTCGGAGCGCTCGCTCGCTCTCGACTCCCTCTGTGCGACCCGCCTTGAGCGCCGCCTCAGCTTTCCGCATGGCCTCGGACATCTCCGTGGGCTGCAGACCTGGCGACGTGGGGAAGACGAAGGGCACATCCCGTGAACTCGAGAAGTGGTTCACGGAAATGGTTGGGACCACCTAACCAGCCAATAGGTTTTTTTGTTCCCAGATGTTTCTAGGGTTTTTCCATGGCTTTTTCTAATCAAAATATATAATTGAAGGTGAGGGTTGGTGATCTTTGTTTCGTTGGATTGTTTCTTAAGGGATGTGCTGGTGGGAAGCTTTAGGACATTTCAGTTGGGAAACACGGTGGGAGCAAGATGTGGGATGGTGCACTCTTCCCATCGAACGCTTCGTGAGCATTTGCTTCGAAACCTTCTCCAAGCGGAGTGGTTAGTGAGTGTATAGGAGCAAACTGTTGGATACTGAAAGGACGGCCTGTTTGACAATGCAAAAAGTGCACTCGTTGTCATACGCCGAGCAAACCCAAACAGAGCTATTATTTTATGAAAGTGTTCATCTCCTAAACTAATGGGTCAGCGATAGCTGTCCTGAGGCAAAGCTAAGCCTTAGAGGCTTTGTTAGACCCCTCTCCAATGGCACCACCCATTGCTCTACCTAGAGACGGTGTATTAGACTGACGGGTATCTTTAGTGTCTGGCCACCCAAGAGATGGGTGGGAACGGCTAGGGTTTCATATTTATATATTATCTATACTATATACAGGATTATACAGGGTCATTGCTGCAGCTAATTACTCCTACTCTATGGGCACATCGTGATGGAAAGATACAGTACGCTGCGTCACCACCGAGCAACCGCATCACAGCCAAGAACAACGGGTGACGGGCTCTTCGCACCGGTCGACGCGACGCGACGGTATTGAGCGCTCCGAGCTTTCGGAGCTCTGGAGGTCCAACCTGAGTGAGGTGGACCAGGGAAGGTTCCCCAGTTGACGGAGGAATGGAGATGGATGGATCAGAAAACCAAACACATCCAAACACCAGGAAAGAACAAAGCCAGATCATCTACTATACTGTAATTGATTGAGACGGAAAGAATACGAGGGGGGTTCCTCATGGTCTTGTGGAAGCTTTCAGAACTGGGGGATGGGTTCAAAGGGGTTAAAGGAGTTTCATCCCACAACCAAAGCGCAGGAAAAACAGATCCCTTCACCAGGGTCTCAGCTTGAGGGCGGCATTGATGATACGTTCATGTCCAGCTTGAAGTTTCTAAAGACCAGCTTGGGCAAGCTTGCAAGTGGTCAGCTTGGGCCAGCAGCCACACGTCTTTCATTCAGAGCGAACAGGTGAAGAGTGGAAGTGGGTATTAGAATGGGAAGACCTCCCAAAGACATCCTGGAAGAAGAGGAAACAGACCAAAACACCCATCGCTTGGGGGTCTCCATGATTTGATTCGGAAAGTCAGGGTGGCGACACTGACTGCCCTTGTTCTCCATGGACCAACCGCATGAGGCGGACCAAGCGCTGCAAGCGTTTGATTGTCTTCCTCTGGTTTTCCGCCAAACCAACGAGTTGGAAGCGGGTTGCCGCCAGCATGAGATCAAACCCTTTGGCACCCAGCCCGGTAGTTTTCCACCTGGCCACTCAAGGCTTGGGTCCTCTTTTGACCGTTTTCCCAACATACCAGTAACCAATCACCCAATGCACCTACACGCGACTCTCTTACAATGGCATGGGTGGCTTTCTCGAAGCTGGCCAATCGTGACCGGGTGCCGCGAGAATCTCAGAATGAAGAGCACCTTGTGCATCTAGTTTGCAGCACCAATCAGTGGTTCGAAAGAATCAAACCCTGATCATATTAGTCTGTTTTTGTTGAATTCAACGGAGAGAGTTCGGATTTACTTTTCAGTGGAAAGAACACGGTTACGCCACCTGTTCAGCTTGACCGCCCAGTAGCCACCAAGTCAGCCAATCGAGGTCCGAAAGCAGCTCAAGGCAAGACTTCCACGCTCTAAGCAGCTTAGGTCCCCCATTTTGTGCCATCCTGTCAGCATGTGTCAACCTCTTGCACGCTCCGCTCCGCTCCCCTGCGCAGAATGGTCCCTTGAGCCCCCCTGCTCTTCAGCCTAGCTGGCATGGAGAGCAACAAACCCTACGAAGACCATCTCACAGGTGCTTGCCCCCAAAATCCTTTCTTTATCAAAACAGGTGTCGTGTCTGGGCTCTTTTTGTACAACTACCTTCCTGCTACCTTTCCCCAGATGAAAACGGAAAAGAATCCAACATTCAATTCTCCAGCAACGGGGGATCGGTGGAACAAAGGACTGTGACTACTTCTATCTCCAAATAGATAGAAAAGTAGAGCCCCACTAAAGATGTATTGG